TTTCAAATACAAAGACTCATCAGCGACACTCAGATCTAAAACGTAAAAAAGGCCAAATTAAGTACAAAGCTTAAGAGTATTGTGGACCCAAAATTCGAAAAGGTTTTGTCATATACAGCTAAGGTGAACTACATGTTCTCTTCCACTCTAGTGACAATACTTCTTTTCGGATAGACACCAGAACTCAAAATTGGTAGAGGAACACCCTAGGTGCACAATCTGGATTTTAATGTGCGATTTGGTTTTTTAGAAGCTGTATGTGGATATATCTTGTACGGCTTTATTACGTTCCACTGTGGTAGTCACTGTGTTCAGTGGTGTGGCCATCTTGAATTTGGGTTGGCAACATAAACTCAGAATTGGTTTAAGAATAATTTCTACAATATTTCAAATAAATATGCAAAGAAATTCCTAAGATGATCTTTACAATTTCAAGTAATCGGAATACATTTTTTACTCTTGCAACCATTGTAAATTTCAGATCCACACTAAAAAATATAATTTGGTGAAGTACCTTCAAATATGAAAATTCCTACCAACTTTCGTTCTAGCAGGCAAAAGATTTGAATAAGAAAATGTTCAGACTATCTATAAAATGTAACACCTTACACGAATCATTAGGACTAGGCGGATTTTTTTATTGTAGATGCAGAAACTTTACTTTTATTGTGTGTCTGGACATGTGTTCTGCATAGACTCTCAAGGCCTGGTTGAAAGTATATATATAAAAGTTTTTTTTTTCAAACATTGTATTGATTTTAATCAAATACAATTTTTTTTGTTCATGATTATAGATTTATATGAGAAAAAAGGAAATATGAAATCTCAAAATTTAATATCATGACTATAGTATTTGACCGGATTTGAATTGTAAAAAATATTACATAAACAATTTTGCTTAAACAAATTTGTTGTGTGGAGAAAGATATACGTAACGAAATTTGAAGGAAAGTGTAGATGTAAATAGGAGCATGCAGATAAAAAATAAAAACAGAGCAGTGCTGTTATTACCTCAAATTTAGATTAAACAAATATCATTGTCATTTTGCTGAGTTTCTTTTGTTACCTATTCTGACATCAGACTCGGACTTCTTTTAAACTGAGTTTTACTGTGCGTTTTGCTGTGTGTTTGTTTATTCTACATTGGCTAGAGGTATAGGGGGAGGGTTGAGATGTCACAAAACATGTTTAACCCCGCCGCATTTTTGCGCCTGTCCCAAGCCAGGAGCCTCTGGCCTTTGGTAGTCTTTTATGTTTTTTAATTTTAGTTCATTTATATGTTTTGGAGTTAGGTGTGACGTCCATTTTCATTGAACTAATACACATTTTGTTAAGGGGCCAGCTTCTCGCTGTGTTGAAGACCAATTGGTGGCCTTCTGCTGTTTTCTGCTCTTTGGTCTCTTTGACACATTCCCCATTTCCATTCTCAATTTTAAGTTAATCATGTTATCAAATTTTAGCAGTCAGTTAGGCTTTGTGACTTTCATCCCTTTATATAAATATGATATATAAATGAATGACCATTTGTTCTTGGGTCTCTTCAGTAGGCAGTGCAGATGGTTAAAAATGTGCGAAAAAAACATCTGACATCATACGTGTATTGCAAAAAGCATTTTGTGGTGAATTTAATTATGCTTTCCTTATTTGGCTGTCTGGCAGACAAAAAATGTTAGGTGCAAATGGAAATAAAATGCTTTAATCTTCATGAACAGTTAATGTTATGCTTCAAAGGCACCATGTACTGAGAGATGTTAAAAAGATTTATATATAATAGATTATGCCAACTGTTTCAACCATTACTTTACAGTTCATTTCATGTACATGAAGATATGGGTGGTCAGTTTTCAAATCTTTATTCCCTATAGAATGTATATGCATAACAATAAACTAAGCTCAATGCAAAGAACTTTAAATCTGCACTTAGACAGAGAGCTCAATCCAGTGATATACTTTGTAATACTGGCCATAATCATGATACAATGTAACTTGAATTCTCACGGTTTGTTACAAAACTCCATGAATTCTCACGGTGTGTTACAAAACTCCATGGAGATCCTGGAAAAATTATGCAAATTATTTCTATTAGATGTAGAATACAAAGGAAGAAATGAAACTATATTAAAAATATTCAGTACAATGCTAGTAATTGCGGTAAAAAATTGATTGATTATTGGTTTTAACGACACTTTAAAGCGCACTTAGGCTATTTCGTGGCGGCTAGTTTTTTTTTATGTAGAAAACCGGAGTGCCCGGAGGAAACCACCGACCTTCGATATGTTTTATCAATTAATATTGGAGCGAACCAGCACGAGCATGGTTCGATCTCACAACCTCAGTGTTGACTGGCTAGTGACTACTTGGACCACACGACCACAAAGGCCCCTTAAAAGGACAAATACACAAGATGACAAACAATTCTTCTATTCAAATATTTAAGTTTTCTGTAAATCAATGTTACATTCAATTTTGATTTAGATTTCTTTAAAAGTTTCGGCGAACAAAACCATGATGATATGCTCCTGTCCCCTTCGCAAGGCACTAGTGTCAAACTTTATAAATTTATTCTACATCATTTTATAACTTACTATGTAGTCAAATAATTTAAGCTTACTTACTTGTTCATCATTTCCTACATTTGATTGCTGGTTATTCCAATTCAAACCATGAAACATGTGAAAGAAATGATGGCATTATTGTTCTTAGCATCGCATTCACTTTCCTAATGTTCTTATTATTATATTATGTTTTTTTAAAACTTGTGGAAAATATTGACAGAAATGATAAACTGGAATCCGCTTGTATTTAACGCTTATATTTTTGTCCAGTTTCCCATGTTAAATAATTAAAACGAGGAGGTATTTACCTTACAACTTCATTTTCCGGCGATGCTGAAATGTATAAATGATATAAAACAAGATAACTTAAAGCGTCTTTGACCTACTTTATTTCTTTATTCGGATACTTGCGGATATCTTCTCAATCTCAACGTTCAACGGGAATATTAGGAAAGAACCCGGATAGAACCAAGAAGTTGGGTTCCTATCACCAAACAACCCGGATGTTGAACCAGTTACCATGGTTTCGAACCAAAGAACCCGGTAGAACCAAGGTTCAGAACCAAAAGACCAGGATGGAACCAAGTTTTTGAACCAGAGTGCCCGGATAGAACCTTATTGCATTCGGAAATCTTATGACTTTTTGTACCTTCAACGTATTTTCCAAATCATTTATTTATTTAGTATATTTATATATAATTATTCAGAAAGTAAGAAATTAATCATCGTACATGTCAATTCACTTTAATATTTTACAATCGGATACGAATTTCTTGTCACAATTTTTCATGAAATTAAATTACCTAACATAATTTCTAAACTAAGCTCGTCCATTGTATTTATCATAGTGGTTTGAACTTATTATTTGATTGTGAAAACTTTTCGAACACCACCTCCAAATAACAATAGTGACTAACTACCACCCGTTTCAAAACAGGGTGTTCCGATGTCAACGTAGCAAATTACCATCAACACAAATGGCGAGAACAAAAGCAACGGTTCCACATTTAGTTCAAAGTATTTGTATAAAAATGTTTTTTCCTCCAGCACTTGCTTGAAAAATATGCAGTAAACCATAAACTCTCTTAGGTAGCTTGTCGCATATGGACTACACTTAGCAAGACTTGTATTCATTCCCTGTCCACATTTCACGCTTCCTGTATGTCTTCAATCAAAGAATATTCACCACTGTAATGTGCTCTTGCATTTTGTTATATGTTAAACATTTCATTTATAATGTTTTCGTTTTTTGTTATTGCATCATTATGATACACACGACATATTGCAGACGTCTTCATGTGATTATACATACACTGAAATGGATACAATGTTAAACAAACTATATGACGTTTTTACACTACATTCGTTGGATATGTATTGATTAATACTGTTTTCTTCGGAGAAAATGATTTATTTATGAATTCCAATAGGCCACTTTACGGTTAGTGCATCCATGTTGAATACGGGGCAGATTTTTTGGATGGAGGTGGAAATAGTATGAAAGTACGGGAAATCCTATGCATGTTTCCAAGCAACTGTTCTGTTTCATTGATGATTTCCCGTATTTTTCAAACCATTTTACCTCCATTATGAAAATCTGCACCTTATTCTACATGGCTGCAATAACCGTGAAAGGGCTATTGGCTTTGATCCAGTTTTCAGTTACTGCGAGTATTTTTACATCGGTGCTTTAATTTGTGTCTGTTGTTTTTATGTCAGTTATGTTTGTGCCTCGTACCGATCTTTTGAGTTGAGTCAATTGCAACTGATTTTTACAGTTTGTCCTTATGTTGTGTGGTTACTGTATACGACTATCCAAGGTTAGGTGAGCGCTCACAAACATGTTTAACCTCGTGTGCCTATTCCTAGTCAGGAGCATGTACTTCAGTGGTTGTCGTTGGTTCCTGTATGTCATATTTTGTTTATCGTAAATTGTTTTGTTATAAATTAGGCCGTTAGTTTTCTGGTTTAAATTGTTTCACATTTTTCATGTCGTGGGCTTTTATAGACGACTGTAAATTGGTTTTTCTCTTTGTTGAAGGCCACACGGTGGCCTATAATTGCTTATATCCACTTCATTTGAACTCTAATGGTGGATAGCTGTCTCATTGGCAATTATACCAATCTCCTTATTTTTATATGTTTACCTTTACACATGCTTATGATGACTTGAAATTTGACTTGATTATTTGAAATCAGTTTAGAGACAAAATGATGATGACATCTTGTCTGACATTTTCATGTCTCCAAAAAGAGAAGCGAAAGATGCCAAAGGGTATTTACATGTAACTATCATTGGATGATGTATCCAATTTTCTATCAACAGCACTGTTATGTCACTAAAATGTATAACCGAAGCAAAATGAAGTACAATTATATATAGCATTATAGTTTTCCTGTATAAATTTAAAGCGTCGTATAAAAAACTCCAAATCAATACATGTATGATTTTCAAAATATTTAATTCAAAGTTTAGCTGTCATGACACTACTTTATATTGTTGATCTCAGTCAATGTCATTAAATAGTTCGTTTCGCTTAACTTCAAGAGCTGTTTTTATATCGTCTTCATTCTTCATCAGTTCTTTCTGCAAAAGAAAAATGAATAAATAGTCTCAATGTTAAAAATAAGACATTTAAATCTTGTAATCAAATCCAAGACTCGCAAGACTATAGACTTAAAACTAAATCAGGTGAAAAATGCAAGTTTTTTGTTACGGTTTAAAGGGGAAAAAATGAATGTGATGATTTCATACTCTATAATTAATATCTATACAAATAGCGAGTTTGGCCGACTAAATGGCTCATCTTGGATCCTACAGAATTATTAAGACTAAGATGCATTTTTTGTGTTACAAATATACATGCACGTATCTATTTAGTTTCAAGATAATCGACAATAATGCAAATATGGAGAATAACTCCTTTTAAGCTTTTGTTGTATACGTTTAGAGTTCGTCTTTCTCTCTTTTGTTGTTGTTGACACCTACATCTGTTTCTCTGTTCTGTATTTAATTTTTTGTTTGTGTATTGCCCTATTCGTTCTCATATTGTATTCTCATTTACCTTGCACAGCAGTTTGATTTAATAATTTTTTATTAAACAACTTAAACTAGAATTCAATATTCCAAGGCCACTCACACAAAAGGAATATTGTCAATGATCTAAGATTATTCCCCTGTAAAGAATCTCCTACCTGTAATACAAACAAATTTGACTACTTACATCTCTCTCTTTTAAATGTCTGCCATTTTTTAACTTGCTTTTTAATTCTGCAATGTATTTCAACTGTTTTTGTAGTTCTTCTTCAGATTCTTGCAAGTATGCTTCCACTTTATCGTCAATTGGTATTGGATCATGTACGTGACGCGTCAAATCTTCATGTCGAGTTGGTTTTACATTATATGCAATTGGCCCACCAATACTAAAGCCAAGGAAAAAGTAAACTTCTTCCTCCGACAGAAACTCTTTCTTCCCTGTACGTATTTTTCGTATATCAATATGTTCCGACGAAGTTGATTTTTCATTCATAAATCGAATACCGTATTTTCCCTCATAAAATTTCAAGTATCCCTTCAGTCGTTTCAAATTATGTTTTTCTCCAAAATTTTCCCACATAGCATTATTGAACTGCGATTCAGCATTATCCTTAAAGAATATGTTTAATCTGTGACAAAGAGAACTGAAACCTCGACCGTTTGTCAGAAAGAACTGTGGTGTCGGCTGAGTTACATTTCTTTCTTCTTTCACAAATACGTATTTAAAGTCTCGAGATCTTCCTTTGTTAATCTCACGATTACGATGCAAAAAACGTAGGCTTTCATAAAACAAACCGTCATCATATTCAATATTAATTTGGTTTGATGGCCACAACAGTATGCAGATAAAAAAATATGCTATGTTCTCATTACCTCGCTTCATTTTGATTATTTGTTTACAATACTCTAAGATTATCTTCGTGGAATCTCTTTTCTCTCCACCGAGAAGTCCTAATATGATATTAACAGATACTAAGTTTGCTAAGTCTTTTGGTGTTCTGTCACTTATCTTCGTTAAATGTGTTTTGATTTCAATGCACTTTTTTATTGCATCCGAAGAACTAAAACATTTCGATTTGGTTTTCAGTTGACGTAATATGTCACAAATATTCATGTAAGAGTTTCCTCCTAGATTTATTAAGCATCTCCTGTGCCAAACATTAAGAACCTCGGGCATGTTCGACTGGGGAACCTCATTTGCGTTCGCCCCAAAGAAAGACCTAAAATCATTGAATAGATTTGGATAATGGTATTGTAAATTTCTGTACAACCTATGTTCTCTTGAAATTTTGGTAAACGAGCTCATACTATCATGGGCATAGAACGTGGTATTGAAACAAAGGCACTGCTCAACAATTGCAAAGGCCTTTTCTCCTTCACTAGAAAATCTTAGAAATTTTGGTCGGAATTTAAACCATTCTTCAAGTTCACTTGCGGAATACGCTTCCTCTGTGATGAACCTCATGATGTCTACCTCCGGTGAAAATTGAACTTTGTTGGTAATGAATTTTAAGCAGTTAATGATTGTTTTGAAGACACCCGTAATAGGATATAATATATGATCTGCACTCCCAGTACGTGACCAACTTGCTTCTATAAAATGGTCTAACGCATCTAAAATCAATGCAATATGTTCAGTTGCATCCGATGGAGCGATACACTCAATCTTTTTAGTTTCATGATTAAAACGCTCATCAAGGACAATTGCAAGGGTGTGATGACAGAATCCATTAGCCGTTTTACCAATTGACATGTCGACAGCTTGTTTTGCCCATGATATACCAGTCTGAAAATCTTTGTTTCTCGCGCAAAGTCTAGCCAATGTTTGAGCAATATAGCTATCTTTCATTTTCTCAAATCCTTTCATCAATACATCTCTTGCGTTTTTCCATGACTCGTTATTGCGAATGTCGTCAACTAAAGGGGAAAACTGGGTTGTTTTGTCGTCGTTATATTCTTCCTTTAGTCGACGAACAAGCATTTCTCTAGTGAAATCTATAATCATTTCCCGCCCATGAGACGGACTTTGCAATATAGAACAATTTAAGAATCTTAATGTCAAAGAACTCAAACTTTCGTTTTTGTTTTCAAGTATTTGATACAACACTGCATCAGCTAAAGCGGGATGTGCCATTCTAATTTGCATTCCACTGGCTGTTTCTTTCTGTTCCACTATGAGAAACATTTTTAAAGTGCTTGATATGTTTTTCTCCCAAAATATTGTTTTAGTTAGTTTTGAACCCATTAAAGCATCACAGCATTCTAATGGAATAAAAACATTAGGTCCTCTTCTAGAAAACTGAGCATATGCTGATACTAAGGACGTATACTCTAAAAGCTCAAATTCGTTTGACTTAATGTCAATATGCGTCAGAAACTGTTTTATTGTATTTTTTATATATTCCTGATTAAACCCTTCTCTAAGAATCATAAATGAAAGAAGGTATTCTGGTTGGTATTCCGCACCTTTCTGTTCTAACTTTTCATATTTTCTGTCCATCCAATGAATTTCCAATTCTGTTAATTTTTGTTTCAACTGTTCAACAATATGACCACTGTGACTAAGTGGAGCGAAGTGTTCGAAAGGTTGTTCGTCAATTTCGTTTTCTCTTTGACAAACGAGAAAACAACAAATTAACCCATCCTGTATGGGATTAGACCTATATTCGATATGAACCTGACGAATCAAATCTTCGAATGTCATATCAGACTGTGGAAGTTCATCTATTAATAACAGTAGTGGTCTTGCATTATTTAGTTCTTTGTGTTGCCACAAGGATATTACATTTTTCGCTGTCCTCTCTGTAATTTTTGTAATAATTGCGCACCGATAGTCCTTATGGAATGCCCACAACATATTGCGACCAAGTGTTGTACCACCTGCTCCTGGTTCATGTGCAATTATAGCAGTTGCAATAATTTTCTTATCTCTTTCATTTGATGGAGACTGTTTTAAAATGCTTCCGACAGACGATTTCAAACGATCAAAACAATGTCGTTTTAATACATGGGATTCAAAATAAAAATTAAACCATTCTACTTTCTCCCCTCTGTAAAACTGATGCTCCACTTCTGATGCAAATTCCTCTTCTTCTTTTAATGATTTGAACTTTTTATTTTCGCATTGTTTTGCACTTAATATATTGAACTCAGTTAGTGTTTCCACAAATTTTTCGTCAGCAGGAACATATGCTCCAGCAGATGTTGTCAGAAAAATAGTTTCCTGGTCTTCATTTCCAGTTATTTCTAGAACAGTGGAATTCACATGTTCCCATGTCATACTTTTCCCTGATACACTTCTCTCTTTTATTTCTTCTTCCATACCCCTGCACTCGGTTATAAATCTTTTAAGGGTTACTTCTGTGGCAATTATTGCTATTTGCTCCCAACCAAATCTCACTACAATTTCCCTAAATGTTTCGACTATCCCATCTAGATTATTTGAAAAAAGTAGAATAATAACCAAGGCTCTACCTTTTGGGATAATTTCTTTTTGGCTATAAAATATAACTGCATCTCGTATTCCTGCTGAATACAAATTTGTCCAATTGGTTCCACGTGTACAAGGTTTAGATGGTTTGATATCTGATCTTCCGTTGCTAAAAATCCATACAGTTTTCATATCATGTGGCATTCCAAGTTTGTTTGCAAGATCAAGTTTGTTTCCCGAAAATTCGAGAAAAATTTCCTCATCTTGAAGAATTGAATTTTCCTTATTACCAAAAGCTGCACATAAACCATTTATGTTTGATTCATCATCAAAATCAAAAACAGCATGGAAATCCACAAATTTTATAAACTTTAAACATCTTAACCAGTGCTCGTTTTCCTTTTGTTCATCTGTTGGTTTGTTCAAAACTAATATAGGCCATATCGATTTATCTAGTTTATTTGAACCCTTACACAGGTGCTTTCTTAACTTGTCCATAGGCGTTTCAATTGGATCAGTAACCTGACTTGGGAGCATCTGTTTTTCATCTTCAAACCGTTTTGCAACAACATCAACTAGTTCAGTTTGAACAAAGAGCCTCTCTTCCTGGTTTTTTTTCTTTACAGTTCCAGTTTTCTCACGAACAAATAGAGTGAATTCAGTCTCAATGTCCTTTGATGTAATTAGTTTGCTCCTATTTACCTTAAAAAAGAGATCTTTGCATAATGTTGAGGAAGGCTCAATGTCAATTTCTATAACATATCTTGGACTAGATGGCATTCGTGTCACTACTTTGACGAATACTGGGTTTCCTATACACTTTGAAGCTGTTCGAGAGCAGTGAATGTCAAAACATTTTGATATTGCAATCCGCAATGAATCGGTAAATTCAGCTATAAAATCACCTGGAATATCATGCACTGGAACGCCTACAACTTCTCCATGTGCAAAACCGCCTTTACAGTCCTTGTTTCCATGCGAATCCCCAATGCCAAACATTATTGTACCATTTTTTCTTGCATTAAGGCAACCCCCTGCAAACCGAATTATTTCTTTGTTACAAAATTCCAAGGTTCGTAAACTACCTTTAGAAATCAAACTTTCAGGAACGAATTTATATTCGTAACATTGAAACGAAACTGCTCCGTCGTGTTCTGCGGTTGAAATTCTCCACCCTTCTGAATATTGAATTTCTGTTGAGTCGCTTTTGAACACGCGCTGAATTTGTATGCCTTGGCACCGCAATGAAATAGTCTGGTTGTTTTGTGTCTCGTCTTTAGGCTTTGGGACAAATTCAGTTATATCAGGATCGCTCGAAAATGTTGAATTGTTTCGCTTTATGGTATCTCTCGAGTGTTTAGAAATATTCAAACTGCTTTCCTTGATTTGCTTACTCTCTTTTTGCGTGTTTTCAGAACAATTTGTAGGAATTCTTTTCAACTGAAAACCATGAGAGTAATCATCAGGGTCAAATATCCAATAATCGCGGTCGGGTTCAAATGTAAAATGAAAAGATTGAGGTTTACCACCTTTCTTCGGTATTGGCTTTTCAATAACAGCACTGTAACAATGTATGCTTTTAGCAAACACGTTCTTACTTATTAAGAGAAAAACGTTTCCTGAATCTGCTAGGTCCTCTATCTTCTTTTCTGCTAAATATCTCAATTTAGCTTTATTCGTTGAAAGAGAAATGGGTTTCTTGTTAAAAAGAAGAGAGTCCTCTTTTTGAGCAATTTCAAATAATTCTTTGTCAGATTTTATAAAATGGTTATGCCATGTTTGAATATTTTTTCTTATACGATCCCATAATGATGCACTCAACCTTTCGTCATAGTTCTCAGCATTTTCACTTGCATCTGTTAGTATAAGAAACAGAGCTTTCTTTTCCAAAGTATTACGATTTTTCCAGTCACTGTGGATAATTTTCAAATTACAAGCCTTGAGATTAGAGTGAGAGTTACACGTTTTCAGATGAAGTATATTTCTAATATACGAGTCCCATTCCTTAGCAATTTCACAGCTATCTACTTGCCCACTTGTATGATCTTCCAAGTGTTTTGATATTGTTGTAGTTTCCTTTTTACCTTCATCTTTGAATGCTACTTTTTTATATTGATCATGGGAACTGAGTTGAGATACTGTTGGTACTGGTAATGAGCGTTTAATATCTTCCACTTGTTCATCTCGTCTTGCTATTACTCTTTTGCATATCACCCCAAATTTATCTGGTCTATTCAAATCTATCTGGAACTCCTTTGAATTATCATATGAAAGGAAAACTATGCCATCAATTTCTTCTTCTTTGATGAGTTTACATATTTCGTCAACATCTGCATTTTGAACAGATACTGCCTCTCTGACAAATTTCTGCACATCATCAACATTCCATTTTGCCATCTCATACTGTAACAGTTGTTCAATGTGTTTGTTATTTCTTAGGCACAACAAAATCTTTCGTCCTACTCCTATAGGAATTTTCAGGTCTGATTTTAATTCGTGTACTCCGGAATCTAAATATGCAAACAACGTTTTTCCATCTATGTACTGAAAATCAGGAACGTTCTGTATGTAGTCTTCCGTTAAACCAACTCGTTTCATTAGCCATTCTTGTACTTCATGTTCTGAACTTGCACGAGATACAGCGATTATTTCATCTGAAATTGTAATAAAATTAAATATAAAAATAAAGTTTTTGTAAAATATTCGTTAATATATTACGACAAATAAATTATCACAAATATATAACATCTGATAACAGAAGGTTATTAAGCTGCTAGGTCGAGATAATAGGATTTCATGGACACTAATTCTTCTTGACCTACATGTGCAAGGTGATGCTTAAAGTTTTGTGTACGTATGAACATTCTGATACACGAACACAGCTACCATGTTTCCCGTTCGAAACTCTGAATGCAGGATATAGCACTAAAAATATTACTTTTATAACTGAAAGAAAACTCGATCAAACCTTATAACATGTGACTTGCAAAAACGCTTATAAACACAACTAAACCACCCGTTTATTGTTACTATAAGAAAGAATTTCTCCACAAATAATCTGAATCACATTATAGTTTACATGATCTGGATAATTTAGATTAGAATATATCCATTAATTATACAAGTTGAATGAAAACGTAGCAAGTTGGATCAAAAGGAAAGTAAAAAGATTGTAGAAAATAACAGGAATAACAATTTGTTGCAGAATAATTAATCCATGATCGGTATTAAGCTTTGTATTTTGTGGTTATTGCATTATACAGATACAGGATTGTATAAATAACAATAGTGAATGTGTTTAAATCAATTTTGACCTGTTTATTTAAGAATCATAATTTGTAGAAAAGACTTGTTTATTACATTCATGGTGTACTTTTGAAAATGTACACACTTTAAAAAAATATTTTCATAAGATGAGGACGAAGAAAAATTAATATAAAAATCAATACACTAGTGAATAAATTGTTAAAGGGGCATTAGCTGTGAAATTCATGTTCACCGATTTGACTCAAATTCTAATATTTGATTTATAACATACTAAAACGTATATCCAAATTACAAAAAGTCTTAAATAAACAATTAACAATGCTCGGACTTGATATGTATCAACATTTCGTGTGTATTTTTGTCTAGACGTCATCCAATTTACCATCGAGATGACCTCCGAAGACTGCCGCCGGTCATATAACCCGAAGAAGAAAACCAACGAAAAAATCAATTTTATCTGTCCTAGTTTCTAGGGTACAGATTAGTCCTAATTTTTCTGATTGTTTCCTGTATTTTAAATATGCTTTGTTTGATCGTATATTACATGTATTTATGTGTGTATTTTTTAAATGTTATATATTCTATGTGTAAATATATTATGAGGAGAAGACTTATTTAAGTTGAAAAAAAAAATGTCCAAAACGTTTGTTGATCAAACTAAATCTCAACTACTGTCTACTCTTACACAAAATAAAATGAAAATAAATGTGAATCTTGATGTTCGTCATAAAGTCCATTCTAGCTTGGAAATCGTAAATCGAAGTCCTAACTTAAACATGTTGGAAATAAAGTTAAAAAAAAATTAAATTGGAAATTAAAAATAAAAAAATAAACTCCTTATTCCTTTAGTTAGTTTTTTCTTGATCAGAATTCATACAGATACATTTTTTCTAACTACTAACAAAGGAGGGAGACTAAAGTAACCAGGATGTACCAATGTGTATTGCAATTAAATTTGCTAGTATTAAATCTTAATTTTTCATGTGTCTTTTTTAGACTTTAGAATTAGAAAGTGCTATGATTTTTCTTTTTCCTTAGACCTACTAGTATATCGTACCTTTTTCAACTCTTTACTAACCTAACATTCCTCCTTTGCCCTTGATACCGATGAACAAGCTATCATACGGCTTCACCCTGGAAAGAACAGACGAACTCAGTATACGACCATAAAACCATATCAGTATATCATCTTCTGGAATATGCTCTATTTGGCTTAAACGTTTTTTCAGATTTTCCATACTTTGAAATAGTAATGATACAAGTACTATTTCTCCATTGAGTTTCTTTACATAAACAGGAACTGTGTCTGTATTGTCTGATTTCTGATGTTTCATAATAGAAGTTGAAGTATGTTTGAAACTTTCCTCCGTTTTTATTATATCAAAATCTGGATCGTGTTCAGTTAACTTTGAATGAATGAAAAATCTTTCTTGTCTATTCTGTGCATTTTTCTGCAACGAAAGAAATGTAATAGCTAAAACTAACTACATGCAAAATTTCAATGACAAAATTTAATATCGTAAATCTGTTGGAAAATTTTAAATTTGGAATTTACTACTGAGATCAGCTGAACTGCCTCTGCAGATAAAACGGAGAAAAATACCTAGTTTGTCAGCATTTATATACACAGAAGCATACTATTGAAATAATTGAAATTTAACTACTGTAACATATTTAATAACTTTTGTCAACATTCTCTAGGAAATGGATAAAGGAAAGATAGTTTAAAAGATTAGAGCGTTATGTGATCTTTCCTGCTTCACTCGTTTGTCAGTCTAAAAAATCATTTGAACTGAATGGAAGGCATTATTTACTTTGTAAAATCAGTTCACACGGTAGATATAGTGTCCAGTTTGATTCGTGTTTTTTTTTCGACTGAATTGATCGGGTTTTTAGAGTGTGACCGGGTTTTTTCGTGTGAATATGATGCAAAAAATAAACAAACAGACATTTTTCTGCTAAGACGTGACGACGAAGCTCAAAATAAATAAAGAGGTATTCTAGTATATTAATATAAAGTTATCATCAATCACGCATTACTTGAAGTTATACACGTTTAATTTATCCTTAGACAGTTTTTATTCAAAAATGTGAAATAAAGCCATTTTGATACACATACAAATGTAAAAATAAAGAAAAATGCGGTCATAGAATCTATATATCCTTAAATTCACAGACGCTTTACAGAAATACCAGTATCTCGGCGATTAAATCATTTTTAGATTAAATTAATTTGCATATATCCGGTTTTTTTCTCGATTGTCTAGGTTTCAACAATATCCACGTGTATATACAATTGTATCTCTCGATCTAAATCGTCGCAAGTATATAAAAAATAGGAATACATTAAAGTCCTATAAGACTTAAAATTTAAAAGTTGAATATGTTTTATATATTTGAATGGCTAAGTTTAACTATACAACACGTGTACATGGACTTTCTTTTAAAAGAATATCCTTCATCTTTATATCATAATCTTCAGACATGTATTACTACTGAATTATTGTCTTCCTGTACTCTAATTCGCCGGTATTTTTTCCGTATGCAGCGACCTTAACCACGAGACCTTTCGTTAGTACTTCAGAATTCGCACAGCTCAAGTGCGAAAAAAAAACCGTGATGAAAGAAAATATATAAAAATATAAATAAACGTGGAAATGAGATAATGTTAATTGATTCTAATAGAAAAAAAAAACTATACACAAAATCATTTAATAACTGTAATGAAAAAGTTTAGTTCACATATAGAAACGCATGTATAAAAAAAAATGAAAAATCGTTCTATTACGTGTCTATCATTTACTTATTTTCCACGGTCGATTATATGTTATTGATTCGTCAAAAATGTAAAAAAATCGTGCATAGAGGACTTAGTTTAGTATATACACATGCATAATTGGTTCAATAATATCCTTAACAATATGATTTCAAGAAACTCGTTTCATTTGACTTTTAAAAAAAATCAAATATCTGGAATTAACAAATCCATGCAGTTTTGCTATCCGATAAAAGTTACACGCATCAATTTATTCAACACGGCGGGTATTATACTATCTTCAGGAGCACGTGAGTCCCCCCTCCCCCGTTTTGGAAGGGTTCAAGTTGCCGCAGTTAGGCTTTAGTATTCTGTATGTTATTGTTCGACGTTTTGTCGTTTTTAGCTACTTTAAATTTATAGAAATTATGATTTTTATTGCCCCCTTGTTCTCCTCTTTTCTTTACATTTGACAAGAATTTAATTTTCTAACATTCTGATGCTTTTTGGTTTTTTTTCAGGAATTTCATTAAACTCGTAAATATTTGTTGTACTTGGTATTCTATTTTATTTTAATTTGTTTCAAATAATTTTTAAGTGTGCGACAAATAGTACATAAGAAATTAACATTAATAATAACAAGCTCAAAAAAAAGCAAGCATAACAAAGAATGAGTCTCATGTCTTTAGTCCTATTGGCCATTATTGTTCCAGGCTGCGGGGTTGCTAACTTCGTTCCAAGAAATTGGCACAGGCGCTTGGTATATGATACAGAAATTTTTTTTTATTTTTTTGTTGTTGATTAAAATATTCAATTTTCCATATTTATACTACATATCTATCACTACTGCGCATGTCTCACCTAGTTTCGAGTGATTTTACCAACTTTGAGACAAACCCCCATTTTACTATCCACACTAAGAAACAAAAGGGCAACTAACTCGACGCCATCTTGCGTGCTATAAATAAATAATAAAATTGACCTACCTGGATTCCCCATCGATTTTTATGGAAAACATGCCTTTCTCGCAGTCCGATCGCAGACGTCGTTTCTATTCATCAAATTGCTACTGTTCGTAACATTTTTAGTCCATCACAAGCATATAATAAAAAGATTTTCACTATTTTCACTAAATTCAAATTCACGTGCCCGGAAGTTTACTGTTAATATTCAGGGGAAGTTACTTTTTCCCGAACTTTTGTTAAAGGGAAGTAATATTTTCCCGGAATTTTTCGGAACATCTCTGGTAGGTCAATTTTATTATTTATTTAAAGCACGCAAGATGGCGTCGAGTTAGTTGCCTTTTTGTTTCTTAGTGTGGATAGTAAAATGGGGGTTTGTCTCAAAGTTGGTAAAATCACTCGAAACTAGGTGAGACATGCGCAGTAGTGATAGATATGTAGTATAAATATGGAAAATTGAATATTTTAATCAACAACAAAAAAATTAAAAAAAATTTCTGTATCATATACCCAAGCGCCTGTGGGAAATGGGGCACCGGTCAGGAAGAATTGTTTTAAAATGTAATCAAATATCACTTACCGGTTTAAACAACCAGTTCTTACTGTCCCCAGATGATTATCCTTATTGAATATGCATATCCCAAAGTAATATATTACCGTTTTTACACTTTTATTTCGGGTAAGAGACTTTCGAATGTTTCGGTTTTCGTCTCTTACTTTCCTTTGTACAATGTATCCCGGAACTCATCTAATTTCCCGTGTTTTCATGTGGAGTTATCCTTCTTGAGCTGAAGACCACACAGATGTCGTTGTATTGTAACTTCCGTTGATCGAAGTTGAATGCAGAAAAAAACAGCAACATCGCCGGCGAAAAAATGAAATAAAAGTGTTAAAACGGTATTATATTACTTTGGGATATGCATATTCAATAAGGATAATCATCTGGGGACAGTAAGAACTGGTTGTCTAAACCAGTAAGTGATATTTGATAACATTTTAAAACAATTCTTCCCAACCGGTGCCCGAATTCCTTGGAACGAAGTTAGCAACCTTTCGCTTCGCTCTATAGTCGAGTGGCACGTTGATAGTAAACATGTATATTTAGAGTAAACATATGGTATTTTGGTATACACATGGTACAAATAAGTGATATATATTGTAAAATCGAGGGTTTATGATAATAAGGGGAAGGGACTATGGGGGGCTCAAAACAGGATCCTGTCTTCAAGCACCTATGGCTGGGCTATGCTAAAATGTATTCAAAGAAAGTTGGCATTACATCGAAAAGGGAGAGGGTGAGCGCTTACTAACATGTTAAATCCTGCCACATTCTATATGTGCCTTTCCCAAGTCAGGAGTCTCCAATTCAGCTGTTGTATTTGGTTGCTGTTTATTTTATCTTTATTTCATTGATTGCTTCGTCCATCATCAGGTCGTTGGTTTTTTTTTTTTTTTTTTTTTTTTTTTTGAATTGTTTCATATTTCAACACGTAGGGACCTTTTATAGCTGACTATACTTTATGGGTTTTGCTCATTGTTGATAGCTTTCCCAATCAACAGTTTTTTATTTACTCTTTGACAAACTTTTTTATTGTACGTCTGAAATAATTTTGAACACAATAATGACTATACTATCGCTATTTAAAAGAAAAAACGTTCAAAATGTTCTGTACATTAAGTTCATTAACCGCCCGTAACATCGCATGGGGTAGTCCCGATATTCAGAGGGGAATGTGATAATCAGAGGGAAATATGAAGTTTTGTTCATTGTCACGTGGATAGTGGCGTATGGTAAGTTAAATGAAATACATGTACCTAACACTATTCAGGATGCCACTCAATCTTTAATCAATGGCCTTCTTCAAATTATTCAAAAGGTGAGGTGTATTATAACAGGTTTCTGTATGTTTATGTACTTACTTTACTTCCGTGTATTCCTTCCTTCGATTGCCGCTTTGCCTTTAAACTTGAATTTAACTGAAATGTAGACTCCTTCCAATAAAACAGATTACATCTGATTTTATGTCTCTTTTTGTAGTTGTGTTTATGCACCTGATAGGCAGTACATACAAAGCAGGAAACATAGTTCGTATTTGCTCCCTCTTTATATTTGGCATACGTGTAGCTCTGTGTCAAAAACCTTCCCATGGTCTAAAGATAAAGAAATATTCTTTCATACATACTGATAGTGTACAAACAATTAAACGTCAATGTACCCAAATTGCACCGAGTAGGGGCCTACCTAGACTACTACCGGCAGTTATTTGACAAGTTTGACAATACAAAACAATAACACAAAAGATACTACACTACCTGTAACCTTGACATTAAACGTTCAACTGCAAATGTTACTTATTTTCCGGATGAGTAATTTAACTGATTCCCGTAAAATATTGTTAAAAGATTGCTTGTCTGTCTATTTATATTCACGTGTATGTTAATATCGGGTCATAGACCATCGGTATTCTTCAGACCAAATGGTTAGTTAGAAATATATTATAACGATTTCATGCATTGTTAGTTGTTTCTTTTGGACTTATGAAGTTATTTGTATAAATCTTTTAGTATGTCATTAATCAAACATTAGAAATTGAGTCAAATCTGTTAACATGAATTTGTCAGCTAATGCCCCTTCAATTCGTCGTTTATTTTCAAACTTTAATAGATAACACAAATCTGTTACTGAAAGCAAGGTCAAATAACTTTACTGCTGATATGAAATCATGTCGTCCTACACTCTTATTCCAGTAGGTGACCTTAGTCCATAGTATACAGCATTTTCATAATTAGTATAAGGAGACACAACCTTTTGCAATGACCAGCATACAACTGATTTAAAAAATGAAAAAAGAACCAGATGAAATTTGAACAGTATAATAAAATCTTATCAATATCGATTTAAACAAGATGGAAGATTTAAATGAACATTTCCGAACATGCTTACTGTATAACTTAAATTATGGTTAACACAGCAGATGTAAAATACAACTTTTTATTTAATTCCTGTAGGTAGAAGCATACTTTCATAATAGATTAGTCATTAGTCCACCGATCAAGATTATGAAGGAGGGGGGACTATCTAAATTCTGGCTAATTATTCAACATGTTCATTTGCATGTCATAAGTCAGAAATCTCTACAATGGTTGTCGATTGAACATCTTCATATTTTTGCTTGTTTTTATTTTGTAATTTTACGTCAAAGACAGATCTGTTTAGTTTGCTTCACAACTTTTTAGCATCGGGCGATTACGTCTTAGAGCTTGGCATACATGTATACACCTTATCGCTATTTGTCCGCCATTACTGGACATCACACAGGTTCCCGTAAAATTTTGACGTCACAATACAAAATATCTGACGCCACAATGGAAAAGTGATTGTTGTATGACGTCAATAGTTCAAGCGGGACAGATTCTCGGGTCAGCCGGGAATAGCGATAAGGTGTATTGCATAGACCCTTGTTGATTCTTAAAGACCATAAGATGTTTTTTGGTTTTTGTGACTTTGGATTATAAATCGAAATCGATGACCTATATGTAACATTCCTTTTATTCTTAACAATAAAATTCATGGATATTCACTTAGTGAATAAAATTTCAGCTATGATTTATTATTTGATAATTTGTGTAGATTCTTTTAATAAAATCTTCGCCCTAACTTCTGGATCAAAAACATTAAAACTATCTCGCGGATTTTTATAAAATTTTGCAAGCAAATGGAGCACATGGGACTGCATGTGCATATCAAAAAGGATAATAAATGTAACTATTATACTTTCGGAAATAAAGCAAATCGGTTCTGAATAAAGAAGTATAATTGTATGCGATGCACGTAAATATCGCAAAAATATAGATGAAAATAAATTTGAAGCTGGAATTTTAATGGATTTATCAAAAGCTTTCGATTGTTTGCCTAATGCTTAACATTGTTGAAATTACAAGCTTATGGTATGAAACAAACATTTACATGCATTTCTTTGTCAAAAAGTTATTTAATAGAATGCAGAAAACATGTAGTAAATTAGAAACTATGTATAAAAGAGTGATATTAGGATCAACATAGGCCCTGTATTTTATAACAATAATTCTGTTGTAGAATAACCGTAGAATGTATTGGTAACTGTATTTTTTTTCATTTATATTGTCAAAGTTTAATTGACTATTTTCATTTTACCGACTTTTGACTCCGGAGTATATAATTTTTCGACAGGTTCATTACTCTGTGGAGGGACATACTGGTACTTGGTCAATAAAGAGCAACTTAAAGAAGTAAAACACACTTACAATCCGTGCAACCATAAAGGTACACCGACGCTTGGTCCTGACCTCCTCTCTTGAAATGTGAATAGATATTGGTAGATATTGTTTAATTTAGCAAAGCAACAGTTAAAAAAACCTTCAAATGTGTATTGATGATTTGTACCTCAGGCTGGTTACATTAATGCACGTCCATTCTATTTGTGCGTATACAGTGATTTGATGAAAATCTACAATTTTGAACTTTGCATTTGCTTATAAGACGTAAACCAAACAAAGGTGAAGTGAGAGTTTTTTTGCTCCGTGTTGAAGGCCCCACTGTGACTTTGAGATGGAAAACAGCAGTTCAAGCGCTGTTCCTTTGCTTTTCGTGTGTGTGGTTTTTTTTGTTTTTTTTTTTGCTGTGCATGTACTGATTTTGTGTCATGGATGGATATCCCATATCCTTTGTTTTAAAAAAAAAAAAAAAAAATATTGAAGTTAAGTACAAGGTTCTTCGATCATTTAATAACCTACCGTTAATCAATCCCTAGACGTATCAAAGTCCCAGACAGACAGTCATCACCATAGTCAAAGGAAAAATAAACAACGGTCCACAAAAACTACACAAAGATACTAACTAAGGTATTAGATTAACATGAATGAAGTGGCGTGGTTTCAAACCACTTCCTGTTCTTGATAATATTATTAAAATTATTATACCAAATCGAGGCATATGAATAACTGTTCTATTTTTGCCAAAAATAGGATTTGATGAGGTGGAAATGACGTGTGGGAATTTTTAATATGCTGTGTTATAATAGAATGTTTTATTTTTTGAAACGCTATTATCATTTACAAAATGAAAATAGATATTACTTTTTCACTCATTTGGTCTTTTGGAAAATGTTGTTTGTGCTGTATTTAGACCCCTCTACCAAGAAATTTATTTTGCATGCACACGTATAAAAATTGCGGTTTTTATCCAACGCAATCATAGGATAGAACGTTGTTTTCAATTTAGACTTGTATATATATATATATATTTACAAACAAGTCTATATTTATATACATACACAAGCAAATAAATTTGTAAATTCGTGAATAATTTACATCTATTGAAAGACTCACAGTTAGGTTCATATGTAATATGAACATATAAAAGTTTGACTTTATCCGTCTCTTGATTATATTATTTAATTCAAAAATGTTTTATGAAATTAAAATTGCCAATAAGAGTTTTTAGAAGACTGATAGAAACGCAATTTATCCTGAAAATAGACATAGGCCTAATAATAATACAAGTAAATATGCAAATTCGTAAATCATTATGTAATACGTATGGTTTTTTAGTTTAATTAGTTTTATATATATATAAAATATATATTAGTGAAAACATTTTAAAAAGGCTGATCTATATCTGCCTTAGGTTTTTGCAGTCTGGAGTTATGAAACAGCTTCAAAACTCTCTTGCATTAAACAGTAGTTGATGTGTTGTATTGAACTGTGTATAGTTTTTTTTTAGATTCCTGCTATCCATTTTTTATGTATCTTGCAAAATATTTTAGCTTAGCTGTGTCATCTTAATGACAGGTTAAAGATACAAAAGGGACTTTCAAACTCATAAGTCGAAAATGAACTGACAATGCCATGGCAAAAAAAAGAAGAAAAACACAAAAACACAAACAATAGTATACAAAACACAACATAAAAAACTAAAGACTGTGCAACACGAAACGTCACAATGAGGCTAGCTATTAATGATTGTTTATCCATATAAACATGTAGGAAATTGACTGTCTAAGCATAATTTATACTGTCATAAAAGTATTTTGTTAGTTTATTGTGAATCATTGGGATGTGCAGGTGCTTCATAGCTTAGCGGGTTGTTGTTGCCCTATAGTATATAATCTAGATGGTTGTTATCTTCAGTGTTTTATACTATAGAATTTTCAACATTAAATTTCGAACTACACTGACAATCAAACATTTCCGAAATGAGCATATGCAGCATCAAATTAACTTCGGTACCTTGTAATTATGTATCACTACAATGTATATGTTCTACTGCGTCGATGTTTTTATGCCCCACCCACGATAGTAGAGGGGCATTATGTTTTTCGGTCTGTGCGTCCGTTCATTCGTCCGTCCGTTCGTCCATCCGTTCGTCCGTTCGTCCGTCCGTCCGTCTATCCTGCTTCAGGTTAAAGTTTTTGGTCAAAGTAGTTTTTGATGAGTTGAAGTCCAATCAACTTGAAACTTAGTACACATGTTCCCTATGATATAAACTTTCTAATTTTAATGCCAAATTAGAGTTTTGACCTCAATTTCACGGTCCATTGAACATAGAAAATAAAGGTGTTAGTGGGGCATCCGTGTACTATGGACACATTCTTGTTTCATAACGTTTTTTGTTTTTGTTTTCCTTTGATCACAATGTTGCATGTCTCTCTCCAATCATCGCTGTTGTTTGCCGCCTTTGTACATTTTGTATCTTCTTCAATTTTTGTTTCCAAATTTAAAATATTGGAAAATTGCAGTGAAATCATGTCAGTAAACTCATCATAGAAACCAGGCTTAAATTTTGTACACCAGACGCGTTTCGTCTACAAAAGACTCATCAATGACGCTCGAATCAAACAAGTTAAATAGGCCAAATATATTGCGAAGTTGAAGAGCACCGAGGACCCAAAATTCCGAAAGGTTTCGCTAAATACAGCAAGGTCATCTATTCCTAGGGTAGACAATCCTTAGTATTTCGAAAAATTCAAAGTTTTGTCAATAGTTATTTTATAATTATGACCATATCAATGATAATTCATGACAACACAGAAGTCCTCAATACTAGGCAACTAGGCAACTAAACGACACAAAACAAAACTAAAAAGCCAAATATATGTAGGAATCTGAACCGCGATAGTGACTCTGAACTGCTATGGTCACGCTGAAATGCGATGGTTTGACGTTGAAGTGCTTTTTTGATCACGCTGAAGTGCGATGGTGGCATTGTGACGCTACCGTGTTGATAGCTACGTACCGAAGTGCGAAAGTGGTAGCGCTGAAGTGAGATGAATTTCATAAATTATATTTTCAATGTTTTTCATGTTCACGTGTTGATTTAGAAGTCAATTTATTTGTTAGAAGTGCCTTTCAGTTTATTAAGGTAAATCATCAAGAGTATAACCCGTTTCATTTAAATCAGTCATGATATATAGTCGTTGTAGTGTATTTTGTAAATAGCTTAGGCAAAAAATAAGCAGTCGTTTATACAATTGTTCTGAAATAGACCACTATAGACATTACATTCCATCTAAACCAGTACTAATTGCAATGACTGAAAAACGTGGTAGTTGTTTGAAAAGCAAATATAAAAAACAATTATTCAGAACAATACAAGATAAGCAAACAATATATTCGGCTGCTGTAAATGAGAGCATGGAATAAGATAGATGACCGTAGATTGTTTTTTATTGAAACTGGAGAAAATATCGAATATTTGGTATTAATGTACTAACTAATAAAAAAATTAAACTCATAATAATTCGACGTCTGTAGATTTTAAACTGGCCATCACGCGTCATATAGACCATCGCACATCAGCGAAAGGACCATCACACAATCGCACTTTGGCGTGATCATCGCACTTCAGCGTCCCAATCGCACCTCCGAGTCCTACATATATATTGTAATACTATCAATAATTGCACACATTATAAATTATAAACATTATAAACAATCGCTCAAGAAAAAAACAAGAAAACATTAGAACATACATTACACCGTTCACGGAAGGAATCCGAGCACTATTGGTAAACAGTACACAAATAACGATCGCTCAATGTACGCACCATGACGTCACACATGATATTTGCATTTTATACGTTCACACGTGCGAAATATACAATACAAACACAGACAGTACAAATACAAATGCTGCATAGTAGAAAGTCACATAGACATATTTCACAAAGTTCAAATTTTTGAAGGGAATAGTAATCTTTTTTTCTTTTTAAGTAGTGCATATACCAACTAAGATTCGGAATCTCACTAGTGATTCTTCACACATGCCCGTGCAGTCTAAACCTAAATAACTTGCATCATACAATATAACTAGTTTGCTATATTTCCATTTAAATAACCACCGAAGTATAAGATCATGTGATTTACTACATACAAAAAAAAGAGCGCAAAAAAACAAGGAAGTGGCTTTACATTTCATATAATGTGAATTAATTGTGGTAAGTAAATTAGAACAAACAGTACCTCACAAAGGCCCTTTAAGGCCATACACATTAATATATACACTAACGTTTCTATATTCATTATTATAGATTACTATTACAATATTATTGTCGTATTAGTTTATTGTTTAGTTTGTTTATTATGATATAAATAATATTACATTGTAATTAATCATCCTTTCAAAGGGCACCTTGATTGGTTAATAAAATTATCCGTCTTCCATCATAAACTTCCATTAATCGTCAACAAAAATGGCCGTACTTTTTTTTAAGAAATTTTAGTTCGTGCGTATGTCACCTTTACATCGAGTTCAAATAGACAAACGTTTTTTAAAAGTCGACAGCAATTGAAAGAATTGAGAGATGGTTCTATCAGCTTGTGTTCTGAGGTATGGTAAATGATACACAATCTATAAAAAGTTCATGTACTTTATGAAAAAAAACCTGAAGAAGTGCAGAAACTTTATATTCAGTATCACAAAGATACATCACAGTTATTGAAGTCCAACCTTGACACAGAAAAACATAGTATTATAATTCCCAAACATATAATGTGTCATTTGTCTCTTGTGGAGAGTTTTATCATTAGCAATCATATCACATCTTCTTATTTTTGTTTATAAAATCAAAAGCATACTTTTCGAGTTAGAGTTACCTCTCCAGTTTGTTAACAAGGTAATGTGGTTTAACCAGTCTTATTTATGTTTAATAACACCGCCATTCAATCGTTCAATAATATTTTGTTGGCGACCTAGTTTCAGACGGTTGGTTATTAAAGACCAAACGCACAGGCTTTGGCCTCTAATAAAATGAAAACAACTTAGACAAAAACTTATAAATAGATACTTTAACATGATTTCGAATCAAAAGGAGATGGCTAGAGATTCGGTCCACAGGATGATCAAAGTTACTGCAAGATGTCTTATGGACGAGGAAGGGGGACTCAAGCCACAGCCTGCAGATGAAGACAACTAAGACCATATTCATTCATTCTCCAAATGAATCAAGTGAACACTAGATAACGACTTTGTTATCTGTTAATTCCAAGTTAAATTATAGCTGACCCACACCTCACATCACTTATCATTTATTTCAGATCGCTTCCAAACCCCACTTCTCACTACCATTCAACACCGTTTCAAATTCTTCATTTACAAAAAAACCACCTCAACAATTATACGAAACCGTTAAGAAGCATCTCTCTATCTTCGAACGGGTCAGCAAGAGTAACATGAGCACGCATGACATGTGGGAGCAACCAAAAACCAATTTTGTATATATTTAACATAATCCCACCCTTAAGCAGAAGCAGTAGCAATACTGAACGCCAATGACAAGTAGACGAAATGCGCATATGACGTACCAAATGATAGCCTTGTATCTCTGAAGGATTTTCCCAACCCCCGACCAGCCGCAGCAAAAGCAAACAAAACCAAAATGGTTAAA